CCAATATCAGAGGATGGTATTTCTAGTTACATTGCCTTTCTAGCGCATGTGAAAGGTTTCAGTTATCGGACAATTGAGAATTATTTAGTAATTGTAAAACATCTTCATAAATCTTGTGTCGTCAAGGACCCAGTGAAGGACAGTTGGCATGTCGAACATTTGCTACATGGTGTGAAAAGAGCCTTAGGGGATGCACAAACTGGTGCACCTCTCTTGACTCCAGATATGTTGCTTTGTATCAAGAAGCATTTGAATTTATTCCGTCTTTTTGATTTATCGGTATGGTGTGCATGTTTGATCGGTTTTTATGGGATGCTGAGACCAGGAAATTTTCTTATGCGTGATCCAAATGTTCCAGTTTTGCGCATTTTTCAAGTCACAAATAAGGACATGGACTATATTATATCATTTGATTAAAATTTGAGAAAAGGTTACATGTCATCATCCCGTTTATCACTGGTCATCCTCTCTGCCCAGCCTCAGCCTTATTTCGTCTCCTTAGTTTACATGTACTGCTAGGTTCAAACGAACAATCCCCATTGCTTTGTGAAAATGTTTTAAAAGCTTTGTCCCATGACAGTTTTTAACTTTTTGAACGCTATACTTATGGGAGCAGGGTATCAATCCAAATTGACAGGACATTCGTTTCGTAGGGGAGGTGCAACATTGGCATTCCATGCTGGTTTACCAGGCGAAGTGATCCAGGACATAGGCTTTTGGAAAAGCGATGCATATCGGAGATACATAGAGCCTTCTTTGCTTAGCAAAGTTACTGCCATTCGCAGTTTTGGACAGAAACTTCCAAATTAGAGGTTGAGATATATTATTGCATTCCCTACTGCTTTCCTTTTTTTTCACAATTTCCACACATTGAGTCTGGGGTTTTTCATAGTTTCAGCCTATTTAGGCCATGTTTATGTATTATTGTGTTATGATGTCCTATTGCAATAAATAGTTGCACCCAGCGTTGTGGTTATATTTTATTATTGAAAAAATGAAGTAAAGTAGAATTTTGGAAATTCATTTTACGGAATTTTTGTGAGCCCCATCCGGATACGTTTTTAGCGTTTAGTAGTGCCATCATGGCCGCAGCTAGGCCGCATGCTTAAATTTGCTTTTGCCAAAACCCACCCTCCCACGCCAATAGTTTATTGGCTGGATGCATTAGCTTATATCTTGCTTTTAGACATTAAGTCATTAGGGCATTGTTGTTTACGCAGCTTTATTTTATTGCTATTTTGCTTTTGCTACTACATGTACAATGTATTACATGGCTACATGATTATTGTCAAATGCTTGGGTTTTTTCATAGTTTCAGCCTATTTAGGCCATGTTTATGTATTATTGTGTTATGATGTCCTATTGCAATAAATAGTTGCACCCAGCATTGTGGTTATATTTTATTATTGAAAAAATGAAGTAAAATTGGATGCCTTGAGATCGTTCAAATGATCCCTCTCCTCCTCATACATTGCTGGAGGAATCATTCTTTACGGTGGTCTGAAAGGTTTCTCATCTGTCAACTTTATCTGATGCTTCACCAAGTCTAAACATCCAATGTCAAACTGACTAGTAGAGAACAAAATCTTCCAACCACTTTGCATACTCTTAGCCTCAAGTAATTCTACAGACGATAGACACTTTTTGTGTTTAACTTTATACATAACTTCAAAATAGACTCCCCATCTTCCAAATCATCTTTACTAGAACGACTCTCAGACTCAGTACCTGGGTCACAATGCTCTACAACTCTGACCTCACAGAACAGAGCACTGACTTAGGCTTACTCTGCACCGGATAAACCGATACATTGCAGACTCTCACTGGTGTCCTCTCTGTGCTCCCAGACTCCAACTTAATTAACCTGGGACATGCCATCAACCCACTAGGGGACTCGGAACTTGACTCAACAACCACAGTGTCAGTTCTACCCCATGTCTAACCAACCCGTGGATCGCCTTAATCTCCCCTGGACCTATACTGAAAGGGGTACGGTTTGTAGTCTTAACATTTACCAATCCTAACAAACTTCTTACGGACTTCATCCAGATTCTAAAGTCATCGCCATATGTCACATCTCATTCATCAAAAAGGTTTAACACATTAGTACCAATGACAATGAGCACACGTTTGTTATAATCTGTATCAGGGACTACCAACATAGGCACTGTCACCGATTCCTTTTCACTCAACCCTCTGCATAAGACTTCAGCTACAAAATAGCCTAGATAAGGCATAATGCTTCCGTGTGCACAGTACAAATCTAATCTAAAATCCAACATTGCTAACAACTCACCACCTGGCAACTCTTCAAAGAATATCTTACTACAAGTTGACACTATGGAACCTGTATCCACTAAACATCTAGTAGACACTCCACAAGTTTCCACTGAGGCTTCAATGGCACTGCCTGCTAGTGAATCTCTAACCCTACTCCTATCTAGCGTTCTAGGGCTTACCCGATTGCCTCACCTATTCGCCTTTCAATAGAGGAAGCTAATCTTTTGGCTGCTGGGCCTTGTCGTCCTTTGGCTTGTCCTTGCTGTCCTTTCCACCTTTGCAGTGTCCACTGCCATTCCCTTGTCCTTGTTGGTTGGTGCGATCATCTCTGGAATTATTAAAAAATATTTATTTTTGTTCCCAGATTTACACTTGTCCACCTTGCTCTCTAAACTCTTGAGCTTCTCGCAAAGTGTAGATAACTGTGTTGTCATTAGTTCTAATGTCTTATCAGTGTGCTCAGCCTGCACAGGCTGGTGCTGTCCCTTCTTGACTTTTGTCCTTATCAGCATTAGCCAGTTCTAACTCCAGATATATTACTTAGAAATCAAATTGCTAACTCAGACGATTGGAAACAGGTTCTTGCCGTCTGCTATAAGATCTCAAACTGCCAGATCGATCACAAAGAAATTGGTTTGAACTGATCGCTGAAATTCGATAAGTCGACGCAATTCGTTTTATTCCGTGTATAAACTTACGTAATCGTTACATATACTGAGCCTATCCATAGAATATAATATGGTTATAACAACAATAATTTATATCATTGAAATACATGTAGTGTTAAACTACATTGTACATTTGTATCACGTGGCTGTCATGCGACTTAGACAATATCTATATAACATTATTTTGATAAAACATTAGGGAATGAATATCAACAAGGAAATACAAATGATGTACAATTCCCCGTGTTACATCTGTGAGGTTATCGCGAAGTACTTTGTTTTCCATACGCAAATCCTCCAATATTTTCAACATCTGACAGTCATTTTTGTGGCTCTCTTTCAGAGAGTCCTCGACACTTTTTATTCGTTCACATATAGAATGAAGAACACTTTTGTTGTCTTTTCAGAACGTTTATTTTCAATATTTTTTGTCGCTTTTGGTACAGATCGATTGTGTTGGGCGTTATGTAGCGGAGTACCATCAATCAGACTGTCCGTTAGAATCCCCGCAGTCCATTTCGGTGTCGTGTTATCCTTACTATATACGTTTTCGATTTCGGTCGAATCTCCGAGTATCAAAGCCTGAATTATGTAACAGTCTCTCCCGTATTTGACATGATTCCAGCTACTTGTTGTGGTTTCCCTTGTTGCTAGTTTACCTTTGGGACAACCGGGAATATCCCTAGCTCGACTCCACAAAATATTTCTGTACCAGCTGATTGCCCCTTGAGACCCCTCACATAGTTCAGTCATTGTCTTTACATATTGTTCACGGGGGAGATGTAGTAAAGCTTTAACTAGTTTTTCAACATATTCCTTGTGATAGGCCAACCTTTCAGAGTGGGAGAACATCTGGCTGATGGTGTAATGATAATTGTGTATACATCAAATGTCCATTGATTTGTAATGATAATCATACACTCGATGTATATTAATTATATGGTTACTTGATACCTTAACATATCTACTAACGAGTAGCCTCCCTTTTATATGTAGATAGCATTGCGCATGTCTGGGAATCACATGTTTATTATCATGGCGGCATTAAAGTGGGCTTGATAGCCACTGATGGAACACGCTGAATCTTGTCGTTCCTGTATACAATAGCACTTCAGTTGGTCGGGGAATATAGCAAATCGACACTATGGGTAGGGGTTCGGGTTGGGTTTTCACTGAGCTGATTAGCGCTCACTGCACCTGACATGTTAAAATCACTTACAAGTTCTTTTCTGGACGTATTCTTCCTTTTACCCTCGTGTATCTGCCTCGAACACACTTCCGCATTCCCTGCACTCGAATCTGTATACACCAGCGGGGTATCTCCGACATACTGCTCGTTTTCGTACCGGAGGCGAACCTTACACTCCACTATCTTTTATCACCCAAGGACGTTTACTCTTCCAGAACACGTGGTCTTATTAAAACGGAGTGGGGATTAGGACGAGGGCACGACGCAACTCAGTATCTCCGATGCACAGGTTTATTCGATTCCAATTCATATAAAACACCATGAAAGCAATAAAATAGACACTATTCACTTTATGTTTCACATGGACAGCAAGCCTTTCTTTAACAACACATTATTACTATGACAATACTTTAAAACATGACATATAGACAAATAACCTGGATGACCTTTTTTCGTGAATCTTCGTGTAAATATTCCTTTTGCTCATATTTTGCCCTGTTTTATTGAATTTCAATTTGGATTATGATTATGTTGATATTTTCATGTTTTTTTTCTTAATAATTTGTATCGACTCTATAAAAACTCAATAAAAGAAAAATGCACAGTCTAAATCCTGAAATTGGATTTGCACATTGTTTTCTGGTTCTGGTTCTCATCTGTAAACGACGTGAACCTTCTTTCAAGCTTGTGAACGTTTCCCTTCAGATTTGAACTTTCGTTAGTTAGTGCTACATGTACATAGCAGATTTTTTGACACTACGCTCCCGGTTGTCATTTGTCTCTTACGCGTTATTTAGTTTTACGCATAGCAATGGATGCTACTTCCGGTAAATACTGAACAGTGTTATCCTTGTTAGTATACTTGTAAATTTAAGCATAACGTACCTAAACGGCAATGTCACTATCCTCGTGCTAAAATAGTATCAAGGTTTGAGGTAGGGACTTAAAATCCAACGAGTGACATGCAACCATCTGCTAATGGATCGACACACGATTTTAACAGAAACAGTCCGATGATACCCTGTATGCGTACGTATGTACATGTCATCCTGTTTTTGGTGATTCCTCCTTGGGGTTAATTTATAAGATAAAATATAGATAAGTGAGGTTTATTTCCGGTTCAGGACGTGAAGAGTTCTCTATACCAGACTCAATAATGAATGTAAAATTTCAAGATTATATAATAAATAAATACATTATGTATGTATGTCATAAAACAAAGTTTCTTATACAGATAATTCAATAGTGAAGTTATTTCAGCTCTGTAGTTGAAGAAAAGTTCATGGTTCATCCAGTAACGGTCTTACTAATTTTTAAACCTACTGACAGTTTTTGCAGAAAGAAATATGGTCCGGTAATTTGTTCAAGATCGATACTGATCTTGTGAAAAAAAAAGGTTTTTGCGTAGTCTAGCTGAAGCTCATGTTGGAAAAATTGTTTTCGAGTTGACTCGCAGACTGTGTTGTTGACTGGCCACAGCCCATAGTTGGACCGAGTTGCAGCATTCCTGGTCATATATTCCATTGGTGATTTTATAAAGTTCAATCATCTCTCCCCTGACTCTCCGGAAGGCTAAAATTATAACGGACGTTTGACTATTGTCCGACCAGGCATATTGTCAAACGTCTGATATAAATGAGTTTCATGGAGGAATAATGTGATGCTACCCAAATCTGTACACTTTTTGAAGAAAATTGTAAAATTTAACAAATGTTTTTATTCAGTATTTGTTTTTGATATTTCACAAATTGATTCCTCCAGCTTTCATTTCATTCTTTGGAAACAGGAACAGGAAGGGTTATCCTAGAAAGGATAGGGCTACCCGAAATGGAACGCTTCTTAATTTATAAAAGTAACTGACATGACCTTGAGTATATTTCTCGATTTTATGGAAGTTCACTTACTTTCTCATTAATCTCAGTCCTTTATCAGTATTAACTTCAAAAATATTTTTCATTGTTTAAAAACAAGATAGAGTATCTGTGCAAGAAGTCGTCAAAAAAAATCATAACAAAGGGTTTCAAAAGATGCAGGTTGATGAAAATTATGGGAAAGATTTATTTTTGCTTTGGTGATCTCATGGAGAAATATTATATTTCTTTGCGTGATAAATAGCCGGACGTGTTTCATGCTCATCAGTTTGCCTGTCCCATTGTTGTATATCTTGCTCTTATGTGAGAATGTGACATAACTTGGATTGACCAAGGTTTATATGGCGGGGCTCGTCCATGAAGCAGAAGATACTTACTCTTCAGGAACACCTGGTCTTATAATTCTTGTATGTTTTCAGGAATCTCACTGTAAATTTGTCTTTTGCTCATATTTTGAGTTTGGATTATGATTGTGTTTACATATTGGTATTTTCTTGATGTTTTTTGTTTATTTTTTCAAATCTAAAACATTCTCAGGCTCAAACATTATGCTAGCATTATGAGACATAGTTGAATTGATCTTCTGTCATGAACATGTGTATAGAGGTTTTTTTTTTTTCCAGTGAGCAGGTGATTGTGTTCATATAAAGATAACTAATAACAGATTTCCTGTTTCTTTCACAGACAAAGATGGCCACTGATCTAGTTGTGCCAGCTGTAGGCCAGGTTGACAAGCAGTATGACAGACCATTCACCCAATTTGAGAGCGAGGTAGACAAAACTCTGATTCAGTGTTTAGATTATCTCTTTACATCTGGAATACACAGTGATGTGACCTTTGTCATCAGAGAGACTGAGGAAAGAATATCAGCTCACAGACTCATCCTTGTTTCCAGAAGTTCTGTGTTTCATGCCATGTTGTCTTCCATTGAGTCCCTATCATGGGAGATAACTTTGTTTAATATCACCAAGAATATGTTCACCTTATTTCTCAGGTAAATCAAGTGCATCCTTAAGTTCAAAGGTCAAATTAATACAATTAAACATTACAATTTTTTTCCACTCCAAAGTAGAAGATTATTAGTAAAATATCAACGTGGAGTTATTTATCTCTTAAATAACTAGCAAAATTTTGTTACTAATGACAAATTTTATCTTCACCAATAAGGGGAGTCATTTTTTTGCTTAAACTAATTTTATAGTTTGATTTTTGAAAAATCATGAATATCTGTAACCATGTGGAAGTCTTCCTCCAATGTCTACAGAGAATATATGACCTTTGTATATGTTCCAGGTTCCTTATACAGACCTGATTGAGTTGACCATTGATGTCGCTATATCACTTCTACCAATAGCCAAACAATACGCAGTAGGTCAACTCATTCATAAATGTGAGCAGTTTATTCATGAAACTATCCTACATGAAAACGTATACTGTGTGACCCTACAACAGGAACCTCCAGACTTACAAGTCCTAGCCTCTCATATCATGGATGAAATTACTTCAAGGAGGAAAGATGATGGTTGTTACGATGAAATATCAACCACAGAAAAGACATTACAAAGAAACTTTGATGTTAAACAAGATATACGAGATATTGGTAAGGTACCTGGCTATTTACAGCAGAGAAAGATGGTGGAACATTTAAAAGTTAATAATGGAAACAGGGAGAATTCAGTTCATAATTTTCATGGTCATGGAATGAGGGAGAATTCATTTCTTGCTTTTCATGGTAATGGAGATTTCAGTTAAAACTGACAAGCAAGGGAATGTTTTACAGCGGGAAACCCTGCAGGATAGATCGGACAAACTGTTCAGACATGATATCATACCAAACCAATCAACAACACAATTCCTCACTTCAGTAGAAATGTTGACTGGGGATGGTAAGGACCTTAAAGCAGACATGAATTTGTGCAGTAATAAGTCTGTACCTTGTCATAAGCCCATTTTTTACTAAGTACTCCCAGATATTATTTCATTGTCCTGTAATAAGCCTGATAAACAGACAAGTGTTGACCCCTAGGCTTACTAAAAGAAATCTCATGTTTACAGAACCAGTCACAAGGACATTGCACCAATTCTCAACAATACATAATTAAGCGGAATGTAGGTTGTAACATTGTGCCATGTCTGTGGTACCAGTTCAGTGATAAGCCCAGGTGTAGTGGTTTGGCAGTAAACTGCATGTAGCCTTCATTTTACTATTTCTGTTGAGCTACAACTTTATACCAGTAGTAAGTATGGAAGGGCCTTATTACCAGATATGTAGGCCAATAAGCAGAGGGATATCTAACATACTGTGTTGTAGATATGTGTTACTTGTAATAGAGAGTCCTGAATTTGTTCCCAAGAAGTCTACACAATCTATGAGGGGGTAGGAAAATAAATGGATATTCAGAGTAAAACTGCTGGATACACCTGTAACATATATAATACTGGACCACAAGGAGGGTGTAGGGATACATGTAGTGTAATATATACTAAGAAGTCTTTTTCCTTATTTTTTGTTAATGTAAAATCAGCCCAGACTGTATCACTTTATAAAATTTCTGTTTTGTTTACAGATGTAGAGAATGATGATGCTGAAGAAAACAAGAGTAAACCTTACAGAAGTTTTTGTGGGAAAAGATCAATTGCAAATATTCAGTCAGTTAAGAGTTTGTTGTTAATGGGTAAAACAAGGAAATCTGGAGGAAGAACATCAAACAAGAATGACAAAATGCTAATCCAGCGGGAAACAGAGACACAGAAACAAAATCCTCTCAGATGTCCAAAATGTGGCCAGGAGTTTGATATTGATGAAAAATATAAACTTCATTTAGGAAGGAAACATGGCGAGAAGGTGTATATGTGTGATGTTTGTCAGAGATCATTCAGCCGAGTTCATGGACTGAAAGTTCACTACCGAATACATACAGGGGATCAGCCATTTGTATGTCACGTTTGTAACAAGGGCTTCAAAGACAGAAGTGGTTTACTGAGGCATCGTGTCGTACATACAGGAGAAAAACCCCACACATGTGATGTGTGCAGCGAGGCATTTACGCAGATTGCTACGCTTCATAAACACAAGCTACGTCACACTGGTGAAAGACCATACGGGTGTGACAGGTGTGAGAAAAGGTTCAAGTGTAAAGCAGAACTCAGGCAGCACCTAGGAGTGCATCAGAGGAAGAAACCACACAAATGTAATATATGTGAGAAACAGTTTGAGCAGAATTCCAAACTACAGGAACACACATTAGCACACAAAGAAAAATGGCTAATACAATGTGAAGTTTGTGGTAAATCTTTTTTAAGGAAACATATAAACTCTCACATTCAAACTCATAATGAAAAGGGAGACAAACCATGTTTCGACTGTGGTAAATTATTCAGAAAATCAAGTCACCTTTTGGAACACCGTCGAATACACACAGGAGAAAAACCATTCATGTGTGATGTGTGTGGTAAAGTGTTCACGCAAAGTGCAACACTTTGTAAACATATCAGAATACACTCTAAACCCAAACCAATCCTCGCCTTATCACCAGGATTGGATTCCCGTGCTCAGCCTTTGATGAAAGATGTTGAACTGCCTGAAAAATAAATGATTATTCAATAAGCGTTTTGTCCTGTATTTTTGTTCAAAATTGAGAAGGAAAATAATGATAGCATTAATGTTAAAAGTAGACAAGTACATCGTGTAACAACATGTACACCAGAAATCTGAAAAATCAGTTAACATGGTCTTCAAACCCATAAAAAGAGAGTTACAAAACAATTTGTTTCAGGTTGTGGTGTCAGTCAGTCCATCTCTGTAACTGGATTTTTCGTTTCTCTAAAACTTTTGATGCCATTTTATCAAATAATCATCGGTACCTAAAGTATTTGATGATTTTCAGTGAAGTGAATTACATGGTGTAACCCATTAATGGTACCCTTACAATGTCAAGAAATTTATAAAATGTCCGGAGTATGTCTCACTACATCAATTCTAACGAATTTTCTATACTCGTTCCATATGTGAGCAGTGCTAGAGATAATGATGCAGTTGTACTCTATTTGCTGGTCTGTTTACTTTTTATGGAGTTATGCCCCTTTGCATCCACTCGTATCTCGAGTACAATTTTACATTGTATCTTCCTATACAAGGTTCACCAATTTCAGGATGTCAACTGATGCCTATATTTTTCTTAATTTTGCTTCAAAAACCTATTTTTTGAAAGACTTCCTATATTTTCTGTATTTTCCTATTTTCTGAAAAAAAAACCAATTCTATATTTCTACAAGTTAGAGAATTCTTAAGTATTTAACAGCATCACCAGCCACCAGAAAATGATTCAGTGCATCTCTTTATCACCTGTATGGACACCTTACAAGGCAGTACAACAGGATATTGGCCTTTTAGGTGCCCATTCAGATGATGATGATGGTGAGCTATGCAGCAGCTCTCTGCCTGGATTATGATGCTGTTGAAGTGAATGGTTACTTTCAGGTAGTGTTTAATCATTGATTGATATAGAAACAGTAAGTGAAGGTTAGATTTGTTAGTATAAATGCCTTTGAATGAAACGATTTTTGTTTGGAAAACTCCTATTTTTTGCCTCAAAACTAGCAAATAACTCCTATATTTGTTGAAAAAATATTCCTGTATTCCTCCAATATTTTGAAGAAGCCTTGGTTGACAGCCTGGAATTTTCACTGGAAAACAATATATTAAATAGCTTTGCTTTGACTCAGAACTGTAAACGTCATTGATTGTTCATGGACTTTTAGAAACGATTGATCAAGTTAAATCAATGATATGTACTGTACAGTTTTCGGCTTATCTCTACAACATAAAAGTGTAGTGTATTTCTAATGGCCAGAACATATACAATGTGAGTTATGTCTAGACATTTATCTTTTCAATCAAAAATACCGATCTCTTGAATTGTTATGTAGAAACCGTCATCCTCGTCAACCAGTAATAGTGCTTGCTTCATAATTGTCATTAAATGAAGAGTCATGTTTTTTATAAACAAAATTTGACCAAACAGAACATTTGTTGGAAAGAGATATACAAAGAAAGAAATCCAATTTAAGTATGTGTAGGTTTGTAACTTAATATATCATCACATTATCCATATCGTCAGTATATGGTTGTCTTACTATTGTAAATCACCAGGGATTGACGTTGATAGGACTGTCAATGGAAAGTGTGTAACACCAGGTATACAACGATAAACACCAACAGAATATTGAATGTGTGTAACACCAGGTATACAGCGATAAACACCAACAGAATATTGAATGTGTGTAACACCAGGTATACAGCGATAAACACCAACAGAATATTGAATGTGTGTAACACCAGGTACAGATATACAACGATAAACACCAACAGAATGTTGAATGTGTGTAACACCAGGTACAGATATACAACGATAAACACCAACAGAATGTTGAATGTGTGTAACACCAGGTATACAGCGATAAACACCAACAGAATGTTGAATGTGTGTAACACCAGGTATAACACCAACAGAATACAGCGATAAACACCAACAGAAACAGAATTGAATGTGTGTAACACCAGGTACAGATATACAGCGATAAACACCAACAGAATGTTGAATGTGTGTAACACCAGGTACAGATATACAGCGATAAACACCAACAGAATGTTGAATGTGTGTAACACCAGGTATACAGCGATAAACACCAACAGAATGTTGAATGTGTGTAACACCAGGTATACAGCGATAAACACCAACAGAATGTTGAATGTGTGTAACACCAGGTATACAGCGATAAACACCAACAGAATGTTGAATGTGTGTAACACCAGGTATACAGCGATAAACACCAACAGAATGTTGAATGTGTGTAACACCAGGTATACAGCGATAAACACCAACAGAATGTTGAATGTGTGTAACACCAGGTATACAGCGATAAACACCAACAGAATGTTGAATGTGTGTAACACCAGGTACAGATATACAGCGATAAACACCAACAGAATATTGAATGTGTGTAACACCAGGTACAGATATACAGCGATAAACACCAACAGAATGTTGAATGTGTGTAACACAACAGAATGTTGAATGTGTGTAACACCAGGTATACAGCGATAAACACCAACAGAATGTTGAATGTGTGTAACACCAGGTACAGATATACAACGATAAACACCAACAGAATGTTGAATGTGTGTAACACCAGGTATACAGCGATAAACACCAACAGAATGTTGAATGTGTGTAACACCAGGTACAGATATACAACGATAAACACCAACAGAATGTTGAATGTGTGTAACACCAGGTACAGATATACAGCGATAAACACCAACAGAATGTTGAATGTGTGTAACACCAGGTATACAACGATAAACACCAACAGAATGTTGAATGTGTGTAACACCAGGTATACAACGATAAACACCAATAGAATATAGAATGTGTGTAACACCAGGTATACAGCGATAAACACCAACAGAATGTTGAATGTGTGTAACACCAGGTTATACAGCGATAAACACCAACAGAATGTTGAATGTGTGTAACACCAGGTATACAGCGATAAACACCAACAGAATGTTGAATGTGTGTAACACCAGGTATACAGCGATAAACACCAACAGAATGTTGAATGTGTGTAACACCAGGTATACAGCGATAAACACCAACAGAATGTTGAATGTGTGTAACACCAGGTATACAGCGATAAACACCAACAGAATGTTGAATGTGTGTAACACCAGATATACAACGATAAACACCAACAGAATGTTGAATGTGTGTAACACCAGGTACAGATATACAACGATAAACACCAACAGAATGTTGAATGTGTGTAACACCAGGTACAGATATACAGCGATAAACACCAACAGAATGTTGAATGTGTGTAACACCAGGAATGTTATACAGCGATAAACACCAACAGAATGTTGAATATACAACGATAAACACCAACAGAATGTTGAATGTGTGTAGCACCAGGTTTACAGCGATAAACACCAACAGAATGTTGAATGTGTGTGTGTAACACCAGAATGTTGAATGTGTGTAACACCAGGTATACAGCGATAAACACCAACAGAATGTTGAATGTGTGTAACACCAGGTACAGATATACAGCGATAAACACCAACAGAATGTTGAATGTGTGTAACACCAGGTATACAACGATAAACACCAACAGAATATTGAATGTGTGTAACACCAGGTATACAGCGATAAACACCAACAGAATGTTGAATGTGTGTAACACCAGGTATACAGCGATAAACACCAACAGAATGTGTTGAATGTGTGTAACACCAGGTATACAGCGATAAACACCAACAGAATGTTGAATGTGTGTAACACCAGGTATACAGCGATAAACACCAACAGAATGTTGAATGTGTGTGTAACACCAGGTATGTGTGTAACACCAGGATATACAACGATAAACACCAACAGAATGTTGAATGTGTGTAACACCAGGTACAGATATACAGCGATAAACACCAACAGAATGTTGAATGTGTGTAACACCAGGTGTGTAACACCAGATATACAACGATAAACAACAGAATGTTGAACAGATACCAACAGAATGTTGAATGTGTGAATGTGTGTAACACCAGAATGTTGAATGTGTGTAACACCATATACAACGATAAACACCAACAGAATATTGAATGTGTGTAACACCAGGTACAGATAAACAGCGATAAACACCAACAGAATGTTGAATGTGTGTAACACCAGGTATACAGCGATAAACACCAACAGAATGTTGAATGTGTGTAACACCAGGTATACAGCGATAAACACCAACAGAATATTGAATGTGTGTAACACCAGGTATACAACGATAAACACCAACAGAATATTGAATGTGTGTAACACCAGGTATACAGCGATAAACACCAACAGAATGTTGAATGTGTGTAACACCAGGTACAGATATACAGCGATAAACACCAACAGAATGTTGAATGTGTGTAACACCAGGTATACAGCGATAAACACCAACAGAATATTGAATGTGTGTAACACCAGGTATACAACGATAAACACCAACAGAATGTTGAATGTGTGTAACACCAGGTATACAGCGATAAACACCAACAGAATGTTGAATGTGTGTAACACCAGGTACAGATATACAACGATAAATACAACGATAAACACCAACAGAATATAGAATGTGTGTAACACCAGATATACAACGATAAACACCAACAGAATGTTGAATGTGTGTAACACCAGCGATAAACACCAACAGATATGTGTGTACACGATAAACACCAACAGAATGTTGAATGTGTGTAACACCAGGTAAACACCAACATGTGTGATATACAACGATAAACACCAACAGAATGTTGAATGTGTGTAACTCCAGGTACAGTTATACAACGATAAACACCAACAGAATGTTGAATGTGTGTAACACCAGGTACAGATATACAACGATAAACACCAACAGAATGTTGAATGTGTGTAACACCAGATATACAACGATAAACACCAACAGAATGTTGAATGTGTGTAACACCAGGTATACAACGATAAACACCAACAGAATGTTGAATGTGTGTAACACCAGGTATACAACGATAAACACCAACAACAGAATGTTGAATGTGTGTAACACCAGGTACAGATATACAACGATAAACACCAACAGAATGTTGAATGTGTGTAACACCAGGTACAGATATACAACGATAAACACCAACAGAATGTTGAATGTGTGTAACACCAGGTACAGATATACAACGATAAACACCAAACACCAACAGAATGTTGAATGTGTGTGTGATAACACCAACAGGTGAATGTGTGTAACACAGGTATACAACGATAAACACCAACAGAATATTGAATGTGTGTGTAACACCAGGTTGAATGTGTGTACAGGATATACAACGATAAACACCAACAGAATGTTGAATGTGTGTAACACCAGGTACAGATATACAACGATAAACACCAACAGAATGTTGAATGTGTGTAACACCAGGTATACAACGATAAACACCAACAGAATGTTGAATGTGTGTAACACCGTATACAACGATAAACACCAACAGAATGTTGAATGTGTGTAACACCAGATAAACACCAACAGAATGTTGAATGTGTGATATACAACGATAAAACACAGAATGTTGAATGTGTGTAACAACAGAATATAAACACCAACAGAATGTGTGTAACACCAGGTATACAGCGATAAACACCAACAGAATATTGAATGTGTGTAACACCAGGTACAGATATACAACGATAAACACCAACAGAATATTGAATGTGTGTAACACCAGGTATACAGCGATAAACACCAACAGAATATTGAATGTGTGTAACACCAGGTATACAGCGATAAACACCAACAGAATGTTGAATGTGTGTAACACCAGGTATACAGCGATAAACACCAACAGAATATTGAATGTGTGTAACACCAGGTATACAGCGATAAACACCAACAGAATATTGAATGTGTGTAACACCAGGTATACAACGATAAACACCAACAGAATATTGAATGTGTGTAACACCAGGTATACAGCGATAAAAACCAACAGAATATTGAATGTGTGTTGAATGTATGTGTGTAACACCAGGTATACAGCGATAAACACCAACAGAATATTGAATGTGTGTAACACCAGGTACAGATATACAGCGATAAACACCAACAGAATATTGAATGTGTGTAACACCAGGTATACAGCGATAAACACCAACAGAATATTGAATGTGTGTAACACCAGGTACAGATATACAGCGATAAACACCAACAGAATATTGAATGTGTGTAACACCAGGTACAGATATACAGCGATAAACACCAACAGAATATTGAATGTGTGTAACACCAGGTACAGATATACAGCGATAAACACCAACAGAAAATTGAATGTGTGTAACACCAGGTACAGATATACAGCGATAAACACCAACAGAATATTGAATGTGTGTAACACCAGGTACAGATATACAGCGATAAACACCAACAGAATATTGAATGTGTGTAACACCAGGTATACAGCGATAAACACCAACAGAAAATTGAATGTGTGTAACACCAGGTACAGATATACAGCGATAAACACCAACAGAACATTGAATGTGTGTAACACCAGGTATACAACGATAAACACCAACAGAGTACCAACATGGCAACATTTATAGTGTGAAACATTGTCAACAAACGCTAGAAATATTGGATACCAATGAAAACATAGTAGGATAATAAGAAAAGATGTTTCTGAATGATAAGTGTCTTTTGCTTTATTCACGAGACCAGTTTCAAATCCGTGTAAATCTTACTGAGGTGACGTTCTTAAAATGCGAACCGGATTAAAACAAACGAGAAAACACTTTTATATGATTTCATACAGAAGAAAATGTGGTTATCATTTCGAAACGGAAAAAATATAAACGGAGAAATGCTGTTATCGCTTGCGCTTATCGTCCATCCTACGGAAACGTTGTACCATTTGTCCTATCCGACATGTTGTAAGTGACCTATGATGAAGAAAAGTCTGTTGTATCGTTGATTTAAAGTTCTGAAGGACTTCGTGCTTCCAAATTCACGCAAAAATACACAAAAGATGAGAGGGAAAAGCGCTACTCGCAAATATTGCGCATGCACTGTCGTGTTACTTCAGTCACGGATTTAAAATAGGTAGGGATGTAAATCACTGCTTTATTTCAAAAGACTATAAAGTAAAGATTTTATCATTATTAAATTTCCTAATCAGAGGATGCGAGGGAGAGGCCGAAAGGGACCGTGTATGTGAACGAGTAGCCACCAGCTGCTGGGTATATTAAAAACCGCGATGTAGATATTTCGAAATGTATAAGATTTTGTTTATATCTCCTTAGTATAATACAAATCGATTCATTTCCAAAGTAATAGTTGCGGTGTTGGAAATTAAAAGTTATTTGACCTATGCGAACTTTGATAATTATGAAAAAAATATGCGATAGATCTATATTGACTTCTCTAAATAGTTCGGTCAATGACCAGGTGTTAGTCTTTTCCCCCCTGATCATTTCAATAGTGTAACATGCACAACTAGGGACTAAAGAGAGTGTACGTGTACATTTTAAATGTTGAGAAAGATCCATCATGCACAGCTATACTTTTCAAGAATTGTCAGACGATAACACTTTAACTTGCAAAATACAAAATGGCCGTTTGTCGACCAACTTCACATTTCGGCCAGTTCTAAAATAATATATGAACTGCAGGGGAATTTACGTATGAAATATCATGTGCTTTTAGGAAATAGCGGTTAAAAGTTTCAATTTTGTGATGGTCATGTGCACGTGTCGACGTCGGCCACTTAGTTTTTTTCAGATCAGTCCATATATGGAACGTAGATACAGTAATATGTACACTTAGGGACAAATAAGGGAACGTGAGAACGATCCATACAGCTTGATCTTTTCTCAAGAAATAATTAAAAGAATAATTATTAAAGAATATATGGACATATCGTGTAAGACGGATAATAATATGTTGGGCTAAAAATAAGTCTCATTCTGTTGGCATGGTTTCGATATTTAACAGTTGTTTAATGTTTACTTAAGTTTTATTTGAACAACAGTAAAGTAAACCTATTAATTATATCACCAATCCCTTAATTCAAGTATTCCGTAACATATCATCACGATCCGTTTAACTTATTAGTGTTTACTGCCGCAATGAGTTCAACCAAACGTTTGTATCGATTGTTTGATGACTTCAAGCACTCATCCGACACCGAGTAACAAATTGTAAACACAGGAAGATACCCACCAACGTGTTTCTACCAAGGTTAGAGATAAGTGTTATATGTGTAAACTGATCGAATAACCACGTGACAGCTGGTGCAAGTGTTAAAGTAACATTACAGGTAAGATGTGGGCATACGTCATGATATATTTACGACTGCTTCAATGTTTAAACAACTTGAAAGGAAACAACAGCTGAGCAGCAACAATGTCAGATAGCTTTAGTCATATACTAACTCCAGTGACCCATTGTTAAATAGCGTTTCATCGTCCTAAAATTCGTAATTTAAATTACCGGACTATTTCCTTATCTGCTTATTCGATATAAACTAATCTTGACGTATCTTCTAGAGAGTTGTATAATTTAATTAAGCTTTGTTTATGTAAACATAAAGCTATTTACATTTTGTTAAAATGATAATAAAACAACAATTTACCATTAATTGTGTTTTATCATGTTGTCACATTAACTTTGTTATAATATAACCTAATCTGTGATCCACAGCTTCCTCCACTTACACACTTTGTACACATTATTGATCTCAATTAAACATGTAAATTATTATTCCCATGAAGTGATGTTGTGTGAGAGTTAGTTATAATTTTGTACTTTTATCCATTCTTGAACTATCTTTACTTTAATTTGGAAGATATGGACATAAATGTGAGCATGTCAGTTGTCTTTGACGAGATAAAATAAGTACAATTGTGTATTGTGCCTTTTACTTGAACATACACTACCTTTTAAATGTTATGTGCACTTTTGTGATAAAATTTTTCCTTAGATGGCCAGACAAAACAATTTCTTGTCAAACTTGTACAAGTTTATATCACTATGTATATATCACTATGTATATATCACTATGTATATATCACTATGTATATATCACTATGTATATATCACTATGTATATATCACTATGTATATATCACTATGTATATATCACTATGTATATATCACTATGTATATATCACTATGTATATATCACTATGTATATATCACTATGTATATATCACTATGTATATATCACTATGTATATATCACTATGTATATATCACTATGTATATATCACTATGTATATATCACTATGTATATATCCACTGAGAATTCCTCTCATGAATAGACATGCACATATACAGTAGCAAACACCTATAAGTTGAGGTATCATAGTGTTAATGTAAACAAGGAGATGCAGTGTGTTTAAAGTACATGTATTATTCAAAGTGGATAAGCAGGAAGTTAAGTAAGACGATGATAATGTTTTTCAGAGTGAAGTAGCCAGGATTGTATGAATGAATTCATATCACCTGAGAAAAGTGCTTTCACACACTGTCTCCTTGGTAAAACACCTCAGCTTCCGTACCATGTCTGTGGATCCAGGAAACCTCAAGTACTTACGGTAAGTCGGATCCATGACAATTATCACTGCATGCTTTATATATTTGTGTGGTGAAATTGGTCTTCTTTGCAGTATACCCCTGCAGTTTGCTGAAGTTCCATTGGAGTGACTTGTGTCAATACATTCTAAGATGACCAATACATGACACTACTAAGAGTTTCATTGTTAGCCAATGAAATCTTAACACGTGAGTAAATACAGGGGACTGCATTACAATAAAATTTTTAAAATGAAGCGTAGTTTTTATTATATACAATTAAATGTTGCATAATGAATTTTGTATACTGGTATGTACTCACACACCTGCGTTTCCTTGTCATATAAATTAGTGGAAAAGACACTGGATTGAAGGTCTGTTTCATAACAGACTTTATCTAGCTATTTTTTTTTTATAAAAGGAGTGGGTAGGTGTGACTTGTACAAAGTGTTGGAGAAGTCTCTGTCACACAGCTGAAGGAGCAGTCTTGTTTCATTGCTCAGTTGGTAGAGATGTGAAATTATCACACTGACCACCTGAGTTAAATTCTTGGTAGAACACTCTACAAGAATATGGACTACCCCTATTCTGTCACATTAAATTGAATTTGTTCTGATATGTAGTAGATTTAAGGTATTTTGAAGATTTTCTTGGTCATGAAATATATCATATATCATATCAATCTGAAAATCTACAATCAATTTTTTAAAATTTTGTAAACAAATAGAAGAAAATGGATTTTTAATTTTTTTTTTATATACAAAAATGGTTTTGTTAACTAGCCTTCCCCTCCAACATATTATCTAAAAGCTACAAGGATTATCTCCCTTCCATCATATATATGTGTTGATGTTGAGGGTACTGGTTGACTTACTAGCCTCACCAGATTGGAATTTCTCTTTAGTCTTTAGAGAGAAAGGGTTGCTAATTCAAATCTCATTTGTAGCAGGGTATATCCTGTTACTCTTTTCTAGTACAGATTTGATACTATTGACCCCTATAGAGGCATTAGGAGATTAGGATGCTTCCTTAAACCTGGGTTTTTGTTGTCTTCAAGGTCAAAGACTTTGTGAAAGAGGGAGTAGTGTTAAAGTTGAGAGTGTAAGTTGCCTTACTAGCCTCATCTAGTGTGAATTTCCCTATAGTCGAATGGTAGCGTGTCTGGCTAGAAAAGAATGGTCACTGGTTGAATGCCAGTAGTGGCAGGATATTTTCCATTAGTCCTTCCTATTTAATATGGAATTGATCCTATACTGGTGACAGGTTTTACAAGATATACTGTTATATTAATTGAAATTGCTGTCATTGTCTTCAATATATCATTATTTTATCCTACAGACATAAAGACCTATTTGACAGATATTGTTGGATCAAAATACCGTAGTGTTAATCTCATAGTGATAACATAAACCTCAAACATGTACTACATTTCAGTGTGTACTTCAGTGTGACTTAAGTGTGACTTCAGTGTGTACTTCAGTGTGACCTCAGTGTGACTTCAGTGTGTACTTCAGTGTGACTTCAGTGTGATTTCAGTGTGACCTCAGTGTGACACTTCAATCTGACTTCAATGTGACATTTCAATGTCAATGATGAACATGACAACTAAAGTTTGACACCATATTCAAGGTCATAGGTCAGTTTTATTAAAACCTTTTTAAATGACTAACTCTGATGATCTGCCAAAAGGTCCAGAAGCAAGACATTTGATAGATACTTTAAGAAGATGAAGTTTTTTTGAATGTAGTTAAAACAGTGGTGTGGAAAGGTTGTGTATTTAAGATGAGCATTAAATAACAAATGATCAATGCAGGCTCATTTGGCCTCTTGTTAGTAAGGGGATTTGTAGCTTAACATAATTGTCTAGTTTGAGCAGGTTTTCATTAGTAATAATCTCCAAGGTAGCTTCTTAAATTCACAAAAGCTAAATATATTGTTCTATATTGATGTTCTATATTGATGTTCTATATTGATTTCTTGTTAGAATATTACACGAGATAAACACCTGCGTTATAAATAACGTCCAAACACATAAAAAAGGCTAATGCACATAGTTTGCGGGAAATGTTCGTGTGCATATATAGGCTGGGAAATGATTAGAATATCCAAGGTCAACATTATGAAATGAAATAGGATATAAGTAATTAGTATTTTGTTTGTCCTTTTTGATGGGATGTGTTGTATATAGAACAGGAATTGAGGTGCCTTACTAATTCCCCAACTTTCTAATACTGCCCCAGACAGCGACCTAATTTCCTGTGCAGCGTTATCACGCTCTCTTGAAGAAAAAATGTCTGTTTTAAAGAGTAATCGGTGGATATTGAGCTAAACATGACCAGAATGATCAATCACGTCTTCACACAGGTTTATTATTATCTTAATGAATCCACAAAAGACATATTGTTTGGGGATTGGTTAGTAATTCTCCACTCTAGTTGGTCAATCAGACTGATGGTAGAAAGCCTCACCAAGTAAATATCTCTATCTAGGAAACAGACAAATCCGAGACATTTTTGATAGATTGTATTTCATTAGAACCGTAGTATGTAAAAACAGAACAGGTTGCTTCATTTCACGTCATTGCTGAAAAGGGAACGTTTTTGCATTAACATGTCTGGGAAACAATCTCAAAAACCTGCCACCATTTTTTTTTTCATCGTTTATATTCTCAATATAACATACCAGAGTGACGTCAGCAGCCAGTTTACTCATTAATAACATCACATTGTTTAAATATAAAGGTCAGGTTTTTAACGAGCTGCGCAGATTTTGTTCTGAGGCTAATAAAAGTAAATTGTAAACGTAATATGTAAGTATAGTTATGTATACATGACTTGATGTCCTTCTGAAACAGGCATATGATGTTAAGGAAATGTATAGACTATGTAGCTTGTGTTCTAACAATCAACTTTTCTTTATGTCACTTTGAACTATCCCCAGTTGGCTTCTGCTTTACAGAATCTTTGATAGAATTTCGTTTTCCTCGATCGTATCTTTGGTTTAAACATTTAGGTCGTTAGCATCGCTGACGAGTCTTATGAGAATGACTAGCACCTTTCAATACAGATTTAGCGTAAGATAGAGTAGAACCAAATAGTCAATTATACTGAATCATACAACTGTTCATCCTCTGATGGCTCATTGGTGATGCTAAGCGTCTAAAGTACGATACATAGGACGCAAAATGCAGTAAACTGACTGAAAGTATCCTGAAAAGTTCCCTCCGAGGTAAAACTAACCATTCTTAACTGAGGATCTCCCCCGTACTTTACTGAGGATCTCCCCGTACTTTACTGAGGATCTCCCCGTACTTTACTGAGGATCTCCCCGTACTTTACTGAGGATCTCCCCCGTACTTTACTGAGGATCTCCCCGTACTTTACTGAGGATCTCCCCGTACTTTACTGAGGATCTCCCCCGTACTTTACTGAGGATCTCCCCGTACTTTACTGAGGATCTCCCCCGTACTTTACTGAGGATCTCCCCGTACTTTACTGAGGATCTCCCCGTACTTTACTGAGGATCTCCCCCGTACTTTACTGAGGATCTCCCCGTACTTTACTGAGGATCTCCCCCGTACTTTACTGAGGATCTCCCCGTACTTTACTGAGGATCTCCCCGTACTTTACTGAGGATCTCCCCGTACTTTACTGAGGATCTCCCCCGTACTTTACTGAGGATCTCCCCGCACTTTACTGAGGATCTCCCCCGTACTTTACTGAGGATCTCCCCGTACTTTACTGAGGATCTCTCCCCGTACTTTACTGAGGATCTCCCCGTACTTTACTGAGGATCTCCCCCGTACTTTACTGAGGATCTCCCCCGTACTTTACTGAGGATCTCCCCGTACTTTACTGAGGATCTCCCCGTACTTTACTGAGGATCTCCCCCGTACTTTACTGAGGATCTCCCCCGTACTTTACTGAGGATCTCCCCGTACTTTACTGAGGATCTCCCCCGTACTTTACTGAGGATCTCCCCGTACTTTACTGAGGATCTCCCCGTACTTTACTGAGGATCTCTCCGTACTTTACTGAGGATCTCCCCGTACTTTACTGAGGATCTCCCCGTACTTTACTGAGGATCTCCCCGTACTTTACTGAGGATCTCCCCATACTTTACTGAGGATCTCCCCCGTACTTTACTGAGGATCTCCCCGTACTTTACTGAGGTTCTCCCCCGTACTTTACTGAGGTTCTCCCCGTACTTTACAGAAGATTTCCCCGTACTTTACTGAGGTTCTCCCCATAGTTTACTGAGGATCTCTCAGTACTTTACTGAGGATCTCCCCGTACTTTACAGAAGATCTCCCCGTACTTTACTGAGGATCTCCCCATAGTTTACTGGGGATCTCCTCCGTACTTTACTGAGGTTCTCCCCGTACTTTACTGAGGATCTCCCCCGTACTTTACTGAGGATCTCCCCGTACTTTACTGAGGATCTCCTCCGTACTTTACTGAGGATCTCCCCCATACTTTACTGAGGATCTCCTCCGTACTTTACTGAGGTTCTCCCCCGTACTTTACTGAGGTTCTCCCCGTACTTTACTGAGGATCTCCCCGTACTTTACTGAGGATCTCCCCGTACTTTACTGAGGATCTCCCCGTACTTTACGGAAGATCTCCCCGTACTTTACTGAGGTTCTCCCCATAGTTTACTGAGGATCTCCTCCGTACTTTACTGAGGATCTCTCCGTACTTTACTGAGGATCTCCCCCGTACTTTACTGAGGTTCTCCCCGTACTTTACTGAGGATCTCTCCGTACTTTACTGAGGATCTCCTCGTACTTCACTGAGGATCTCCTCCGTACTTTACTTAGGATCTCCCCTTACTTTACTGAGGATCTCCCCATACTTTACTGAGGTTCTCCCCGTACTTTACAGAAGATCTCCCCGACTTAACTGAGGATCTCCCCGTACTTTACTGAGGATCTCCCCATACTTTACTGAGGATCTCCCCATACTTTACTGAGGATCTCCTCCCTACTTTACTGAGGATCTCCCCGTACTTTACTGAGGATCTC